TTGGGGAGGCCTCAGCAGCAGCCCAGCCTATGCTTTGCAAGGATTCTTCCCCACCTCTCTGGCCCCAGAGGGGCCCCCTCTCTTGGCAACAGCTCCCCCAAACTAGAGCAGTGGGGAGCTTAAGAAAACACCAAATGTTTAAAAAATGCCATTGTGAAGTCAAAATGGAAACTGGTTAACTAAAATCATCTAAAGCTGTTAAAACTTCCCCATTTAATATGATTTGCTACGAACTTTAGAAAAAATTAAAAAAAAAAAAAACACCCCACAGGTTTGGGGTAAGTTGGCAAGTCTGGCAAATTTAGCAAGCCCATCCATTGGCTTCAGCAAACTGGCCTAACATCCCGGAATATGGAGGTCTGTTACGTTTTGAGGATGCTCCTCTGCACCAAAAAGGCTGTTGAAAAGACATATCCTACCTTGGTTCGCGGTTACTATCTTACCCCCAAATCTGGAATCCAGGAGGGAATCATGGTAAGTCCCAAGGGGTTTACAAGTGGCCATGTTTCTGTAAGTTTAGCATTACCAGTTCTCCCCAAGAGGAAGGAACGATGCTCCTGCTTCCTTATATCACAAGCTCGTTGCCACCACCCTCTGTCTGTGATCACCACGATCGTCTACTAGAGAAAAGCAGCCTTTCAGGACACACTAATTATCATGGGGCTTTATAGTCAGTCACATAAGCAATGGAGACCATGGCTCTACCAGAAGGTTCAGGGCAAAACTGGTTGTTTGCTTCTGACCCCAGCACCGTCTACAGCCTTATTCTTTGTGGTCCTGCCTTCTCCTGTGCAGCTCTCATGGCTGGTCTGTGACGCTTTCTCCTCTGTGTGGCCACTACACCACAAGCTCCCACCAAGCAGCATACCATCTGAAGCTGTTCTTCCAAATCGATTTAAACTGTACACATTTTGGAACTGTGTGTTCCTTTGCCCCTAACAGCAGCGTGTCAGTCTGCAGTCACCTTGCTAACCCGGGTTTGCGTCGTGCCCACTCCTTTGTTGCTACTGAGGGGATTAATTTTTATCTGACGGTTCTACCATTTTGAAGCTAACCTTCTGGATCAACTAAAGCTCCCCCTGTCCTCATTCGCATCAGATTGTCTAAAGAAATCAATCAGCACTTCACTAAGTATTCCTAAAGGCAGCTCTGAAGGCAGGAAAGCAAGATGCTACTTGAGAAATACTTCTATTTTCCTACCCTACTCTCTTCCTAAATCCACTTCCTCTTCCAACTGGGCAGAAGGCATCTGCTGCTTTTCTTGAAGCCCAGTGGATCAGACAGACTCCTGGACAAGAAAATGAGGGAGGAACCAACGTTTAGAGTTGGACAGATACTCTAAATTTAGATGGAAAATCTATACTAGGGAATAAACACATACATGCATTGTAGCATTCTGAAATATTAGTCTCTTACTAACTGTCAAAAGGCTCGTTCACAGGCAAAGGAGGATGTTGAACCCAAAATGTCAGGGCCTGAAGAGTGAACCCATTCTGACTGCAAGATGAGTTTTTGCTATAGACAGTACACCTTTTCGTTTGAAAAGCAGGTAGCATCACTGGGTCATTAAGTGTCTGCAGGATCTGTGGGGTCAGCTCTTCTCAAAGTCCCAGGGAGAAGAGCTATTTATGCCCAAAGGATCAGAGCTCAGGAAAGTGCTCTAATCCTAGGCGATGCATAGAAAGCTGTGGAACCATCAGAAGGCTTTGTATATCAAAGGCTTTTGTACTTTGTACAGAAGTACCATCGTACTTTGTACACCATATCATCCACTGGAATATGCACGATGTGCCGATCTTAAGTGCTCTGCTACGTTAATTTCCACTAAGAAGTTTCAAAATTAAAAAAGGGAAAGTAGACTTGAGAGTAAAGGGCATCTTCAAAGCTTTAAAAATAGGATAACCTGAGTATAAATGAGGAAGGAGGTTGTTGCTCATGAGGGGTGGGTGCCATCGGTGCCTTTCTGATCCTTATCTCACAGGTGAGTATTAGTTGATTCATGTATTTGTGTTCTGCTTATTGTGCCCCTTCTGTGTCAGGCAGGATGCTAAGCCCTGGGGATAGGAGGTGACTAAGCCACAGACCCTGCCTAGGGAAGTTCAGAGCCTACAAGGAATAACAGATGTGAAGAATGAATAAATACTGTAAAAAGGTGTATGCTTTATAGTGACAGTGAAACGTTGAATTTAGGGGGGAAAAGCCCCAACATTTTTTTCTGTGTATCTTTTAATGGCAATTCCTCTAGCCAAGATGTTGGACCGATTGATTGAATCATTATAAGGATAATGTATGTGAGATACACCATAAGCTGCAAACTCAGATACTGCTGTTTTCAGTGTTGAAGAAACCACCGCTTCAAGCATGCCAGCAAGTGCCTCAGTCCAGAGCCTCAGGGCCAGATATCTGTTCCTGCCTGTTGGAAACAGCACAATACAGATGAAAGGGCCCCAGAGAATGAGCTTGGAAGTCTGGCTTCCAGCTGGCGTTGTTACAGGCAGAACTCGGAGATACTGCAGGTTTGGGTCCAGAGCACTGCAGTAAAGTGAATATCATGATAAAGCAAGGAAAAGAACTTAACTTTTATTATTTACAGGTATACCTTGGAGATATTTCAGGTTCAGTTTCAGGCCACCACCACAGAGAGCACGTTGCAACAAAGCGAGTCACATGAATTTTTTGGTTTCCCAGTGCATATAAAAGTTATGTTTACACTATACTGTAGTCTCTTAAGTGTGCAATATAGCGTTATGTCTAGAGAACAAATGTACGTGCCTTAATTTAAAGACACTCCATGGCTAAAAGATGCTAACCATCATCTGACAACTCAGGGTTGCCACAAACCTTCAACTGGTAAAACAAATGCATTATCTGCGAAGTGCAATAAAGCGAGGTCTGCCAGTCTGTACTGGTCTGTACTGGGGCAAGTCATTTAGCCTCTCTGGGTCATTTCCTTTACTAAAAAATCATGGGATTTGATCAGTTCATCTCCAAGTTCCTTTCCAACACAGGATTCTGAGTCTCTGTTTCTACGGTGACAAATCTACCCTGAGATACTTCTAGTTACAGATGGTAGGATTAGACTGATCGAATTTATTAAGTAAACAAAACCTCTACATGGGAAATCAAAGCATTTTTCTAGACCTTACTTGGTTATCATTTCAAAATACACTTGTTGCTCTTGTTTGAGAAGTACAGGTTATCGCCCGTGAACTGAAGGAGGAAAGGAATATCCTTAAACCCAGTCTGGTAAAGTTCTCCACTGGACTCAAGCACAGCTGCGGGAGGAGGTTTAAATGCAGAGGAGAGCCGGCCGGACTCTGGATAGCAGAGCGAGCAACGACCGAGAGCTCCCAGCTCTCGGCGATGGACGAGGTCGCAGTCACAGAGCCTGGCACCCGAAACCAGCTGAGCTCTCAACTCCCGGTCACTTAACACAGTCTCCAAAAGCTGAGGTCTGTTCCTGGGACAGAAATCTTCTCTGTTTTTCCCCCAAATACTCTTTTGAACGGTTTCAAGGTTGTGCAGTGTTTCGCTAATATTTTAGGGAACTATGGGAAAACTTGCCCACCACAGGGAGAAATAATGCAACCAGGAGAGCAGGGCTGCCGGGGGCAACCTGTCCTGACTCAGGCAGGCATGCTACCAGAGATTCCCCCCACCCCGGGGACGTGGCCTGGAATAGGCTTCTGACACCCCCCTTGCAGTTTCCCAGTTTCAGGAGGGAAGGACTGGGGGGAAGGGCTGGGCTGGAGTGACGGGACAGCTGAGAATGCAAGGTCATGACTCAGTGTCAGAGGTGTTAGGTGATGGGCTATATATCTTGTGTTGCCCTTGATACAATCTATTCTGGTGTTGGGTCAATGGATCAAATATTAAGCTGTGGGTTTTGAAAAGAAATCCATAAAAGGCTTAAAATGTGTGTCGGGCTTGATTTCAAAGGACCACTATGAGGGCTTATCTAGCTAAGTGGTTCTTGTGATAATGGCCAGAGGGACAATGGTCAGTGTGTTCCTGTCATCACCATGTCCCCAAACCTCTTATTGCCTTACGTCCTCCTTATCAGTCATTTATGATGGAACTGTACACACCCAGGCATTTCTGCTACATTCTTACATTGTACTATAAAAATGGAGAACTGCTACAGGACTTAATAGGACACGTGTCGTCACAACAACAAACAAGGAACTGAGTTCAAAAGACCCCTATTTCTTTTTATCCTCTTCTCATCTCCATCTTTAGAACCCAAAAGGCACAGTCTACGATGTGCAGTTGATTATAAATGTTATTTTCTTACGACTGTTGATAAATGGCATAAACAACCTTAAATTATACACCATGTGCTTTGGATTATAGAGCATGTAGGAATCTTTTCCATGTTTTTCTGAATGTTATGTCTCTTACATTTGAATTACCCAGGGGAGTTGATAAAGGAAGGATGTGTGCTGTTTATTTAGGGCTGTGCAGAGTCACTGACAGGCCCTGCCAACAGTGAGGTGTTATCCACACTTGTTCACACCTGTATCCCTGAAGATGGCAGGGCTTGGGATCCAGTAGGTGCTTGACAAGCAAGTGTTGAATGATAAATAAATGGGGAGGATATATCAGCTTAAACGTATGAGGAAAGGCACTTTTACCAGCTAAACAAACAACACCAATTAAATTTGGAAAAGGGACAGAGATGGTTATATAGTTGACTCTGGGTATTTAAAAATAGGCTGAAAATTATTAGTAAGAGTATTAAAAATCAAAGGCAAAGCCTGCCTTTCTTCAGCACGTAAGAAGCCCTTAGAAATGCCAGAAGTTGACCCTCTATTCTTAGACTCAACGCCCTCCTTGAACAACGATCGCTCATATTTTGGGATGAAAATGTCTCGAAGAGGTTGTTATCTAATCTAGCACAACATCGTATTATGGAATACTGGAACTCTCCCTTTAAAATGGCAATTACCCCCCTTTCCAAAAACAAACACAGGTGGGGGCGGGGATGGGTCTCTCCTTACCGTCAGCGACAAGGCCATGCAGACGAACGTGAATTTCTTGATGTGTGCTGCAGTGACTGCGTTGCTTGTGCTCACCAGCTTATTGCTGGGGTTATTCTAGGGGGGCAAGAAAAGGCTCCAGGTTATCCTTGGCTGACCACACGTGCATCTTACAGAGCATCTCGTTTCTGTTTTATTTGATGCGTCTAAAGTGCAGATGTCAAGTGACAGCTTGGCAGACAGCTGTCACTCTGAGTCTCTCTCAGACAGCTGTCATGTTTCTGGACATGAATGCTAACCAGAGGGGGTTCTGGACTGAACGTCCGGCAGTGTCTCCTGAATGAGTCCCCTCTCCTGGGCGCTGGGTGCCCACCCAGCTAGTCCAGGGCCCCAGCCCATCCTGCAGTTCCCGACCGCCCTGGAGCTCTGCAGGCAGGCGTGGCATCTGGGCCCGTATTTGAGGGCACATGTCAAGGCCCCGTGAAGTGCGCGTTTGCTCTCCGAGATAAAGGACTGCGTGTCTCACCCATCTGTTTATTTTATTTTATTTTTTAAAGACCTTTTTTTTGATGTGGACCATTTCTTTAAAGTCGTTATTGAATCTGTTACAGTATTGCTTCTTTTTTTTATGTTTTGGTTTTTTGGTGGCGAGGCATGTGGGATCTTAGCTCCCCGACCAGGGATTGAACCCGTACCCCCTGCACTTAACCACTGGACCACCAGGGAAGTCCCTCACCCATCTCTTTAGCTCCTGCAACTTAGCACCATCTTTCTTGAGTAGAGAAGATGTTCAAACAGGCTTTGTTAGATTGAAATGTAAGCAAATGATGCAGACGGCCCAGAGGTCCTCTGACACGTGCCCAAGGGATTGCTGGGGCCATCCCAGGGTCACTGCTAGGTGTGCCCGTCACCCAATCTAAACGAGCGTCCAGCCCTCAGCCTTGAAAGGCAGCAGAGGAAAAACAACGCCAGCCTCCTTACGGATCCCATTAGTCCCAGAGCTGACTCACAAGAACTAATAAGAACCTCCTGTACAAAAAAATAAATAAAATAAAATTCAAAAAAAGAAAAGAACAAACGGCGCGCCCCTGGCTCCCATATCCAGCCCAATGAAAGACACACAAGCAGAGGTGTTACAGGTCCCACTTGCAAAAGAGCTTTTGATGTTTGCTTCCCTTCAGAGGCTGAGGCAATCTCTCGGATCCCTTCCCCTTTATGCCACCTCTGGAGGGGTTGACATTTTCTTAACTCCGGTCTCTAAAGCACATCTGCTTTTCTGAAAAACAGACTGTGCACAGTGCAAATCACAGCAGGTAGGATATCTCTGCGTCTCCTCTCCCCCAGGGATCTGTGAGGGTGGTGCCCCGGTGGCCTGGGCGAGAAGGAGGCCAGGCCGGGAAGAATTAGGAACCTCCAAATGCACAGGCCACCCACGGTGGCAGCCACGGGCCCCAGCTCCTTCAGGTGCGCTTTTATTTTTAAAATAGCAAATACTTCTGCAAGTACGGTTGGAATAAACTAGCACATATCATTAGATTAGCATCTGTGTCTCACCTTGTTTGCCCCGTCTGCTCTTTCGCAGAAACATAGTCTTTTGCATATGATAACTGAACATTAGAGAGAATTTGGACGAGTGGAAAACTCTCCCAGCTCACTGTTTAGCTAGAAACAGCAGAAGTTATGCGAGAAATTTTAAATCTCTTATTCTGGAACGCACAAGGGGGCTAAGGATTTCAACTGTCAGTGCAGCAGATTCTGGAAGTCCACACAGAGGTGTCTTAAGATTCGGGTGAATAGACGGCATTCATGGGAATGGCTTGGAGTAGCGCAGTGGAATGCATGGCAACAATGGGGGAGGTTTCAAAAGGGTTCTGAGTAACTCCAGCATCTGGCTAGAGGTACGCTCCTCAAAAGAATTTTTTTGTTTTTAGGAATAAAGACACAGACCTACTAGAGAATTGACTTGAGGATATGGGGAGGGGGAAGGGTAAGCTGTGACAAAGCGAGAGAGTGGCATGGACATATATACACTACCAAATGTAAAACAGATAGCTAGTGGGAAGCAGCCGCACAGCACAGAGAGATCAGCTCGGTGCTTTGTGACCACCTAGAGCGGTGGGATAGGGAGGGTGGGAGGGAGGGAGACACAAGAGGGAAGAGATATGGGAACATATGTATAACTGATGCACTTCGTCATAAAGCAGGAACTAACACACCATTGTAAAGCAATTCTGCTCCAATAAAGATGTAAAAAAAAAAAAAAAAAAAGAATTTTTCTGTAGTGCCTAACCTCTGTGATGGTGAATAAAACAATGCTTATCTTGGACGCTCTTAGTCAAACTGTATAGCGCTGTATTGTTAAGTTTTACTATTTCAAGGTAGCCAAAAACAATTTCAGATGAGACGCTCACAGCCACGAGGTTCTAACACTTTAGAACCTGCTACTGAGTTTTATTATATAATCGCATATTCCAAGAGCTAGACATTTAACAAGATGACTTATATCCATTTTGGTTTCTGAGGACTTACTTCTATACACACGTTCCTTGACATGAAAACACTGATTTCTGTCAATGGAGTGGATTAAACCCACTCAAACACAGCTCTCTCTTGCAAGTGACTCAGGCCTTCAGAAGTCCACTCTCAAAGGCCTAGGAAGCAGGAATCAAAAGAATTTTTTCGGAAATGCTCTGCATCCTAATGCTGTGAATGAATGTTGGCAATCAGTGGAGGGTCCAGCTTATAGTTTACTGGGGAAGTTCCACACCCAGTAAAGAGTTCTGGGCAACAGCCTACCCTCTCTCACGTTAGGCTGCGTGAGGGCCATCCCTGAAGCACTTGGAGGTGAGATGCTATTTGTGGGTGATTGATTACAGGTGTGGGAATAGAGGCAAGTAATCTGCTGGGGACCCTGGTGAAGAGGCTTCCTCTCCTCACCTCCTAGGGCTCTTTATGGGATCACATGAGATGATATCAGCAATGGCTCTGAGCTAGTTCTATAGAAATTCAAGGCCAAACAGTTGCTATTAAGAGTACAAGTGGCAGGTTCTGTGCTTCTTTCCTATTTTTTATTTTAAAACATTGTACACTATCTTGCTGGGGGGGGGGTCTGTTTTTCTACTTATTTGTTTCAGGATACAAATCTACAGGTTCAAATAATTAAGCTTTAATGAACTAGGCATTTCTCAAATGATCTGCACACAGGTCAGTCCTGACCTGGCCTCAGGTTACAGGTCTGAAGGCTTATGCGCCTTCCTGGGCTGTGTCAGCAGCTGTGGAAGGACACAGTGGCCGTCACCAGAAGCTTCCAGCTGGAATAACTGCGCTGCATCCCAACCAGCCTGGACCCATGGCTGCTGCATGGACAACTTGGGCGTGCATGTACCCCAGCACCCCGCAAGAGAGCCTTAAGCTTATGAACTTAAGCACACAACTTCCTGTACCTTCACATCTGCTATAAAGTATGGGTTTAACTAAAACACAACAAAAGAGAAATGAAATCCAATATACTAAAATTTTTTGAGAGTATAATTTCCCTTTTGCAAATAATTTCTTGACAGGAATAACCTTGAAGTGAGTATCAGTTTGCAGAGGCATCATGGGAGCGGCATCAAGGCAAGTGTGAATTCGCCTCTGTTATTTTCTGAGTTTCCTCCGCCAGCCCCAAAGCCTCATTAATCTTGCAGAGCGAGGTGAGATTAGAAACATCACGGCGTCCGTCAACGGCGATCCCTGTCTATCAAACGCTAATTTTAAAGAGTGTGTTTCAGAAACCACGGCGCGTGGGGTTCTCACCTTGTCAAAAGCAGGGTAGACAGCACGGATTTCTGTCAACCAGCCATATGGCATGTGACCCACGGGGTATGTGGCTGTCAAAATTGCCACGGCCTGCAAGAGGAAGAGCCGGCAGTTAGCAGGGCATCCGCAGAGCCTGTGTCCAGCCGCTGCCTGCCATCTGCCACGTGGCAGAGCAAGCCGTCTCGGGTGTGGTCCCCACTGACAGGTCACTCCACTCTGGGTGACAGCAGGAGGAAGGGGCAGGCACTCCCCTGCATCCCGGGAGCGGGCTGAGTGGACCCAGGGTGTGCACCTGAGACCAGGGGGATGCGTCTTGTTTTACATGAATCCAGTGAGGAAGGGGTCCAGATGACTGCCTGAGAAGCCAAGATTTCAACCCAGGTCTACCAAATTCTCACTGAGCTAAACCAAACCTTCTAGTCTAGCCCAATTCTTGAGTCTCAAAATGCTATTCTGAGCCCCACCCCTGCTCTCTGGAGACTCTGCACTCAGCATCCACCGCTCTGCCTCCACGCCATCCCCCAGGGAAGCTGACGGTGTGCGCTGGTAGATGGCTTTATGGTATCCTCCATCCGACTCAACTCACTTTCAATCTGTTCAGCCAGGAGAGCCCAATTTTGATGTTTAACTTAAGAAAACTGAATTAGTACTTCTCATAGGAAGGCTCACAGGTTCTCCCATGAAAATGAGAGTTTCATTTCTTAGGTGAATGAAGAGGCAGAAAATTTAAAACAGAGCACCTAACCCTACATTTTTGGCAAAGTTCAACTCCCTAACTAGCTAGGACAGC